AAGGGTTCAACCAAAAGACAGAGCAATCCTAAATGTTTATACACCAAACAACAAAGCATGAAAAGTGTGCAAATTAGGAGAAACAGACATTTTGACAACCATACTTGGGGACTTCAATACCCCATTCTTCAATACCCCAATACCCCATTCTGATAGAACTCCTTGGAAGAACATCAATGAAGAGAGAGTACTAAAAATATCTTCCTCAGCTTCCTCTAATGTGTACAGTCCTGAGCTGAAGTGATATTAAGGTAAGACACTTGCATTGCATTTGGTTGATGTGGGTCTGATCTCTGACATCCCGTATGTTCCCAAGACGGCCAGGAGTGATCTCTGAAGCATAGAGCCAAGAGTAAGCTTGGAATATCATTGAGTGCTGCCCCCAAACCAAAATAATAATAGTTATAATAATAAAATAAAGTGCATAGTCCATCTGACATCTGAATAAGCTAAGGCTAAGTGAGTGCTGTGTTGGAGGAGTCCTCCCTCACTTTATCAGCTACTACCTCCTCACTGGGCTACGTTCACTGGCAATAACTTGCACCACGGCCTGCTCTGAGCTGGCCTCCATCTACTCAGCCATGAAGTGAAATTTACAGAAAGTAAGATCAACTTTCTCATTAAAGCAGGCCATGCAAACACCAAGTCTCTCTGGCCTGGCTTGTCTGCAAAGCTTTGGCTATCTGCATTTGGGAATATCTGTAAAATAAGGGCTAAATGACCTTAACCAGCATCATGTACCAACCCCTCCACAACTGTTGCCTAAGGAAGAGAAAAAAGTGGGAGCAAAGAAAGAATTTGAGGATTGTGGTGATGATATGGGCTTTTTGATATGTACTTCCTTTGTAATATGTTTTAAAAAATAAAATCATTGGGCTGGAGCAATAGAGCAGTGGGTAGGGTGTCTGCCTTGCACGCAGCTGACCCAGGTTCGATTCCCAGTATCCCATATGGTCCCCTGAGCACTGCCAGGAGTAATCCCTGAGTGCAGAGCCAGGAGTAACCCCTGTGCATTGCCAGGTGTGACCCAAAAAGCAAAATAAATAAATAAAAAATAAAATCATTAACCAACAGGATCTAACTGATGTGTTTACAAGTCTTCTATAGTAGAAAGCATTTTTTTTCCCCATGAACCCATAGTATATTCATTAAGAACAGCCATTAGGTTATAAAACCACATATTTATACATTTAAAAGAATTAAAATCATGCAGAATAACCTTTCTGCCTATAATTCAGTCAAAATAGGGATCATAATAGAAACTCAACAAATCATCAACTTTAGAAATTAAATAGCACATTTAAAAATAGGAATAGCAGGCTAGAGAGACAGTACAGTGGGTAAAGATGTTTGCCTGCGTGTAGCAACCCTGGTTTGACCTCCAAAGTGAGTACTGCTAGGAGTAACCTTTGAGCACAGAACCAGAATATCCCTGAGTAATGCTGTTTTGACCCAAAAATCATAAGGTAAACAAAACCCCAAATAGCTATAGTAATCAGGACAGTGTGGTAATGGTTAGGAAGAGGTACATAAATCAATGGAAGAAAACAAAGGATTCAGAAATAGATGCACACAAAACTGTTTAGCTGATTTTTAAAGATAACCTTTCCAAAAATGGTGCTATAGCAAATGGATACCAATAGGCAGAAAAAAGAACTTCAATCTAAACTCTCCCCCCGCTTTTTAATTTCCGCTTTTGGGACATATCCAGCGATGCTAAGGCGCTACTTCCAGTTGTGTGCTCACTCCAAGGATGCTCAGGGAACCATGTGATGCTGAGGATTAAACATATTGAGCTATGTTTACAAAAATTAACTTGACCAAAAAATTAAAAGTGACAGCCAAACTGGTAAAATACATAACATGTGTGAGGCCCTGAGTTCATTCCCAGCACCATGTGACCCTTGAGTATTGCTGGGTGTAACTAAACAGAGTCCTTGAACTTAACATCAAAAGCATATTTATAAAGGGGAAAATATAAACTGGATTTCATCAAAATAAAAGTTTTGTTTGGAAAAAATTCTAAGAGGATAAACAAATAGACCAGGATAAATATTTTTAAAACACACATCTCCAACAAAAAACTTGCATCTAAAACATATAGGCCTTCAAACCAATATAAAAATTTAAAGTGGAAAAATATGTAGGGCTGGAGAGGTAGAACAACAGGTAGCATGCTTGCTTTGCATGCAACTGACTTGGATTCAATCCTGGGCACCACATATGGTTTCCTGACCCTCTCTGGAAGTGATTCTTGAGTACAGAGCCAGGATTAAGCTCTGAGCACAGATGGGTTTGGCCCAAAGACCCCTCCCCCAGAAGTGATGACTATATACACACTATTGTTTTGTTGCTGGTTTTAGATGAAAGCAATACCTTTTTTCATCAGTATGTTATATATTTTTAGTATATGCCCTTTTTCAGGGCTGAAGCAACAGAACAGCAGATAGGACATTTGCCTTGCACGTAGCCGATCTGGGTTCGATTCCTTTGTCCCTCTCGGAGAGCCTGCCAAGCCACTGAGAGTATCCTGTCTACACGGAAGAGCCTGGCAAGCCTGGCAAGCTCCGCGTGATGTAATCAATATGCTAAAAACAGTAACTACGAGTCTCACAATAGAGACGTTACTGGTGCCCGCTTGAGCAAATTGATGAACAATGGGAGGACAGTGCTACAGTGCCCTTTTTCAGATTAAGAATGCTCTGGTTCTATTCCTAGTTGGTATGAATTTTTATCAGGAAAATACTGGATGTCAAAAGTCCTTTCTACATCTACGGAGATAACATACACTTTTAATAATTTAAACTGATTGGCCTTTTAAATTAAACCAACAATGCATTTCCGATATAAAAATCACTTGCACATGATACAGTACTCTTTTCATGTATCATAGTAACTTTTTCTAAGGGTTGTCCTCAGAGATCACTTCTGGAAAACCATGTATGGTGGTAGGGCAAGTGCCTTAATCTAGGCACTGTTTCTCTGGCCTCTCAGCTCATTTAAAAAAATGCAATAGGGATAAGAGTATAATTATTTGATAGAAATGTCATTAAGTACCCATTTGTTTGGTCTGTTTTTTGGGCAATACCAAGTGATGCTCAGGGTTTACTCCTGGGTCTGCACTCTGAAATCACTCCTGGCAGTGCTGTGGTGCCATATCGAATATTGGAGATCAAATCTGGATAAAGGTCTTGGGCAAGCCAAGTGCCTTACACACTGTACTATGGCTCCAAACCTCTTTTTTGATTTTTAATTTAAAAAATGTAACTGATTACCTCAAATACTTGATAATTTTCACAAATACATGAATTCAATACAGATGGGAAAACCTTTAAGTTATATGAATACTTAATGGTAATGTAATATAGAACTGTAACAATTGGTTATTTGATAAGTTTAAGTAGATCTCAGGCTTTGATTTTTAGCTCTGTGAGAACATCAAAAAACCTCTAGCAGGTCAACAGTTCAAAAGATTTAAGTATAATAAAGGTCTAAGTAAAATAAAGGTCTTCTAAAAGCTTCCAGTCATCCAGCTATTGTTTTGTCTTTAAGTGTTTAAAAAATTTCTTGAGATATATGTTAATTGCCATTAGCAGATCCTAATTTTCTCCTTTCATAACTTGATTCTTAACTGTTAGGTGCTACTCACATGGCTTTCTCATTTGTTTATGCATATTCAGAAAAAATTCAGAGGTTCCAGGACAACTAACAGATAGTGGTTCCAATGTATTTTTTTTCACGCTTATTGGGACCACACTTGTACTCTGCTCTCAGGCCCTTTCTCTGACTGATCTTGTATCCTTGTACAAAGCTCACTTTATACTCATAATAGAAATAGGAGAATGGATGTCCCAGGATCAGAATGAATGACCTGAAGTCCTGCTATATTTATAATCTTATGTTTTGCTTTTTGACCACATCCCGGAACACTGGGTGTATGTGAGGAGAGGGGTGGATGTTGGAGCATTGCTTGGGATTCTTTACTGCTTGCCCGATCCCGTGGTGCTGTTGGGGATCAAACCTGACCCAGCGAGCACCTCCAAAGTTGGCCCTGGGAGTCCTGGGCCGGCCCCTTAGGGCCTTGCAGCGCTACATCATGGTCCTAAGTCCTGAAAACGCACGCTGGCAGTTTGGTGGCATAAGTCGGGGCCCAAAACCAAACGGCGAACCCAGAACAAATAGGCAAGCTAGAATGTATGAAATAGCCCTGGGAATTCGTGTTTTGGGGAAACGCGGCGAAATTAACAACGATCCAACCCGGACTACCCTCTTTTCTTGAGCCTTCACCAGTCTTCACTTTTTGAAGCAATTTCTTTTCCCATACCTCACCCACATTTCCTCGATCCTAACTTGTGTGTGTATGTGTGTGTGTGTGTGTGTTGTTTTTGCTATTTTTAATTCTACTAACCGCTGAAAACCACAGCGGTAGGGTGCGCGCAGGCCACCCGCGGGGGAAGCCCGAGCGCGTCCCGCCTCCCCTCCCCGCCCCGCCCCGTCCCCGACGTCAGTCGTCGCCCTTGGGGGCCCCCTTTCTCCTGCCTCACCCTCACCGGGGGAAAACGGCCTGGAGACCCGCAACTTCAGGAAACAAACGCACTTGCCCCAGAGGCGGAGCTTCCCGCTTCAGAGCCTAAAACTCGTCCCACCGGGCGCGTTTCTGGGTCGACAGCGGCGTGAGGGAGCCGCGTGGGAAGCGCGAACCCTCCTCGCCGCCCTCAGGAAGTTGTAGCGGGTTAAGACCGCGGCGCAATCACAAAACGACACGAGAAGCCGCAGTGTCGTCCCCGCCGCGCCCCCTCCAGAGCGGGACTCGAAACCCTCCGAGGCCAGAGAGACAGACGAGTGCCCGGGTCCACCCGCTCGCGAGCAGACAGGGGACCCGCGCGGCGACCTGAGGGAAAGCTTTACTTTTTTTTTTTTTTTTTTTGCCTGGTCCCGCGCCCAATTCCTCACAGCACATCATGCCCCGACCGCCTGCCTCTCGGGATGCGCCGGCTTACTGGTAGTTCGCATCCACTGGAGCAGCGCCGGAAGGTCGGCCGGGGCCGTCGTCCGCAGCAGCTGTAGGACCGCGGTCCTGGCCTCCGGGAATTCCATGCTGGAGATGCCCCAGGTGAGGACGAGGGCCGCACTGCACACGCGCACGCACACACCGGCCACAGCCCCGCCCTCTCGCCGGAGCCCCGCCCCTACGCTACGCAAGCCCCGCCCCCGGCCGGAGTTCCCCCTCGTGCGCCTGCCGACCCTGACAATCCCACCCGCGCCGTCCCCCTTGGAGCCGGCGGAGCCCGGCTTCGCCACTCTTTAAACTCTCGAGGGCGGACTGCTTTCCTGAGATTGTATTTCAAGAGTCTTCCCATTTGCCCCCCTCCCCCGCCCCCATAAATTAATTGGCCGCTACAGAGACTGAGCGATAGAAAAAAAACAAATGCCCAAAGTCTAGGGAAGCAAAACAAACACCTCAAATAACCCGCCTTCACCGAAAGAACCTGGCGGGTGCCCCGGAAGCGGAAGTGGATCCTCTGTGAAGAAAGGCTGGACTACTCGGAGTGGTGACGTTTCCTCATTGGGCGGAAGGTTCGGTGGCAGTCGTCGGTCTTCCAGCTGGTGGGAGTTGGCGTCGCGGTGCTGGGCGCTGGGACCCTAGTTTATGTCGTTCAGGAAGTCCGGCTTTGGAATCGCCCGGCTGTGTGTGATCCCGGCTCTCGTTGGTGTCCTTCCGCGCCGTGGGGCTTAGCGAAGAAATCCCCGGCCCCTTTGGGCCAAGGAGGCTACGGTGCCTTTTGCGGTAAGTACTTGCCTTTTCCCGCCTGGGACCGCGAACTGGCAGCTGGGGGCAGCTCCAGAGCTGCTCAGGGGACAGGAGAGACTCGGAAGGAGAGTCGTCTAACCTGGCCTCCGGCAGTCGTCAGCAAAATTGAGGTGCTCTGGCCCACTTTTCATTGCGTGTCGCCCCGTCCTGAAGTTGTTTTGTTTTTGTTTTTGTTTTTGTTTTTTTTAATTTATGACCCTTGTAAGTTGCCTTCCGATTTGCCCGAACCCACTAGAGATGAAGGCCTGAGTCAGTAGCTGTTCTGTTGAAGGATTTAGGTGTGACAGCTTGCCCCGAAAATATTCCGACGTGGACCGGATTTTTGTTTTGCCCTGTTTGCTCTGATTCCCACATTGCCCTGCTTCCGGTGGGCCTTCGGTAAGTGGGAAAGGACTCTTGTTATCAATAACCGCGCCAGTGGGCACGTAAGAGATTATGGTGACCTCCCCTCAACTCAGCCCGCTCCTCTCTTCTCCTCTCTCCTCCCCTCCCCTCTCTTCCTCTCCCTCCCCTCTTCCCTTTCCCCTCCTCTCCTAAACTTTCCTGAACTCTCCCGTTGCTTTTCTCCATGCTGTTCTTGCCTACCTCTTGGATCAGCTTAATTCAGCAAAGTTTCTTCTCTTCCTTAGCTGGAGGAATACAGAAATGAATGATAAAACCCTTGTCTTTGAGAGTTAACACCAAAGTGAGGCAGAGAGAGAGGCACGTAATAAACGTTGTATCAGGCCAAGGGATGAGAAACTTAGAAAGGTATAGAGTCAGTCGTGCGAGTTTTGAGAGCGAGTGTGCTCTTTAGGAGACATGAGACACTGAGCAAATTGCATTTCCAGTCCTGCCTCAGTTTCCTTCCCTACCTGACACACTGGTGGGCATGAAAGATGAAAGTGTTTGGAATGGTGCCTACAATAGAGCAATGGCGGTGCCAGGGGAGATGGAAAATATTTCTCTCCAACTTTCTTTTCTTGATTTATTTTTAAGTATGGTCAACCAATGTTATCTGAAGTCAGAGCGGCTGTCCAGCCTCTTGGCCACTTGCTTTGCCTGCAGCTGATCCAGGTTCGATTCCCCAGTACTCCATATTGTGATATGAGTGATCCCTGAGTGCAGAGCCAGGAATTAGCTTTTAACATGGCCTGGTGTGCTCTCCAAAAAGTCACAACAAACAACAAAAAATTAGAAAACTAGTGTTATCTGAGTGAATACAAAGTGTTTTGTAAAAGCATCCTTAGGCCTTCCAGATTTCTGGAACTTCACCTGCCATTGGAATGATAAGCATAAATAATAGCTTTTTTTTGTTTTGTTTTGGTTTTAAAGACTGACATCTGTATGCCTTTGAAAGATAATTACTAAAGGGTTTAGTCCATTTGATTTTTCTTGCTTTTAGTTGAGTCTCTTTTTACTTTAGATCCTTTAATCCTTTGACATTTGCTCTCACAGAGATGGTCTTTCATAGCTTTTTCTTCTCTCCTCTTCATCAATGACTTCCAGGCCATTATTTTTTTACATCAACCAGTTCTTCATCTTTTTAAGTAGCTTGTATCGTAGAAGAGTTAGCGTTCTTTAATTTCTTCAAAACCAATAGATGCAAAGACAAACTTTCTATCTCCACTTATTTTCTCTCTCTTTTCCCCATTATTACAGAAACATGTGTAAAAGCAGTGACTGCTATTCTGTTTTTGAGTATGAACTTCTTTCTAGTTGTAATACATATTTATATTTTCAGTTTTTGTGTATTCAATACCTAACTTAAGTAGTAACACTTCACAAATCATTTTTAAAGTTCATTGAACTTTTTTCTCTGTTAACATTCAAACCAACTTCCCTTTATGGTTCCATTCATTCGTTAATGGCATTGCTGGACATTTAAACTGGAGTTCCCTATATTCATCTTTGCATTTGTTTCTCCTTTATTCTCCATAGTATTTACTCATTAGGTCCAATAGGTTCTGGGTAATGGGTTAGTCCTTTCCTTGAGCACAGAGTTAGAGATAACCTGTGGGTACCATTGGATGTGACCCCAAAACTCCCTTTCCGAAGTAGAGTGAGTTTTAAATTTGCAATTTTTTTTTTAACTGAAAAGACAATTTCCTGACATAACTTAATGTAGTCATTGGTACAAAACTAAAGCAAGGAAATTAGTGGTAGTTTGATGATTACTCTATCTTCTGAAGTTAATATAGAAGTCTTTGTTAAATTGCTGTAATTTATTGGAGTTAAAAGTTTCTCATGCTAGGACAATTCTTAAAGCACACAGTGCGTTGTTGATGAATAAAAATGTAATTGAATACAAGTTGCCTCTCCATTTCAACACCTAGTATATCACTTTAATTCTCACAAGCATGAGGGGTACGAAGTGGAGCATTAGTACACTTGTAGGGCGCTTGCTTTGCACTCTGTAGACCCAGGCTCAATCCCGGGCATCCCATATGAACCCCCTGAGCACCATCAGGAATAATTCCTGACTGTAGAGCCTGGAATAATGCCTAAGCATTTCTGGCTGTGGCCCAAAAAATGGAAAAAGAGTCTAGTTCTTACAAGCACTTGAGAATAATTATTTTTTCCCTTGATTTAAGAAATTATATTTTTAGTACAAAAAGTTGAAAAGTACTAAAAGATATAAAATTAAAATGATATCACCATCCAGAGGTCACAAAAATTATTTTCTAATAATTTTATCAAGATGAAATTCACATCCCAAATTTTCTTAAAGTGTACAATTTAATTTATTTACAATTATGCACTTATTACCACAATCAGTTTGAGAACATTTTTATTACATTATAGACAAACCAAATACATATTGACCAACTCTCCTTATTTTCTCCAACTATCCATTTTCTGTCTCTAGATTTGTCTCTTCTAGGCATTTCATATTAACGGAATTTTAAAATATGTCATTGGCTCCTTTCACTTAGCATAATGTTTCCAAGATTCATTCATTTTGGGGCCAGAGCAATATTGTACAGCAGGTTAAGATGCTCGACCTGCACACTGCTGGCTCAGGTTCAGTCCTAGCATCCATATGGTCCTCAAGCCACTGCCAGTAGTGATCTATGAGTGCACAACCCACAGTAAGCTCTGAGCACAGTCGGGTGTGGCCTAAAAACAAAAACCAACTCCCAAAAGTCATTTATTTTATAGCATGTATCAGTACTTTCTTTAATTTTTATAAAGTTGTTCCCAATAATTCATTACATTTAATATTCGAACACCAGTCCTACCACTATTGCATCTTCCCACCACCATATTTCAAATGTTTCTACTTCAAATCTCAAATCGTGTCCCCCCCCAAAGCAGACCCTAAACAATTAATTTTGTATTCTTGTTACGAATGATCTACTGAAAATTAATCCAATAAAGTATTCTTAGAGGAAAGTGTGTGAATATTGTTATATTTCATCCTGGAGCCATTAAGCCCTTGTAGTACTTTATTTCGTATCATTAAGATCACCTTCTGTTTCCTAGTTGGTTTACCACATTTTTATGTACCTCTTTACCAGTTGAAGGATGTTTGGATTATTTTCACTTTTTACTTTTGTTTGTTTCGTTTTACTTTTTAGGCCACATCACTACTTCTCTGGCCCCAGCTTTCGTTTTTTGGGTGTTTTTTTTTTTTTTTTTTTGGCTACCATGGTTAATGTTGACAATTAGCATCCTTGTGTAAGTTTTATTTTTATGGGGCCTCCCCAGTGGTGCTTGGGGTCTACTGGGCTGTACCTGCCTGGGATGGAACTCAGGGACCCCAGTCTTTGATCTGTTCCCTTGAGTCACTACCCATGAACAAGTAGTGTGAATTTAGGTACTTTGGATGTACCTTGAAGTGGAATTGCTGGATCTCTCAGAGTTTCAAGTTTTGGGGAATTGTCAGATTATTTCCAGAAGACTACAGCATTTCCATTCACACAGGCAGTGCACAGAGATTCTGCTTCTTCTGTATTTCTACTAACTCTTATTATCTTGTTTTTTTTATTACATCTGTTTTAGTGTGTGTGAAGTGATAATCTTAGTGAACCTCTGGTTTATATTTCCCTGGTGACTAATGTCATTTTTTTGTTTATAATTTATAGATTAAAAAGATAATACATATGCATATAGTTTTGCATTCTACTTCTAGAGTATTTTAGGCATTAGCACATTTAAGAAATAATTTACCTTATTTCTGCTTCCCTCTTTATCCCCTACAGCCATAATTTTTATAAAACCTTGCTTGGTTTTTATATTTAAAAAATTAAATCTACAGGATTAAAGCTTTAATAAATGAAAGCTTTGTATCAAATTTGTATCAAATTATTATTCGTAGTTACCAAGTTCAAGGGGAATAAGCTAGGGGAATTATGTTTTCTACCTTACACTTCTATAATGCTTGAATTTTTACAATGAACATCCTTTAGTAATCATAAAACTTAAATTAGATAAATTATTTCCTTGGAGGACTAAGTAGATTCTGGATAAAAATAATTCCTAAATTTAAACCATAATTAACTTTAAAGTAATTATTCAAATATAGTAATCTTACCAAATTAAATATTTTTCCCATTTGGTTAACTTTTCTGTGATCCTAGACAATATACATGCTATGCAAAATTCAGTATTACTTAGTGTTATGCTAGGAAATCATGAATTAGTTATGGAACATTGACTAGTTCATATGTAAGTATATAATGTTAGAGTGATTTTTCTAAAGATTATTACTTGAAAATAATATTGTATAGACTTTCATTCTAATGTTGATCCAATAAGTTAGTTACTGACTGGAGCTATGAGGTTCTGAGATTGTTTTTAAATAGGATTTTGTTGTAATAGGATTTGGGTCTCTAATCAGTAGAATGTATTATACAGTTTTCGATAAGACAAAATTCTGTGGGGACTTCTATAGTCGTTTATGTAGAGAAAATGGCTGTTTGGACACTCCAGTTTCTGTTGAATAATTCTTAGATAATTATAATGGATACCCTTCCCCAAGGGTAGTTCCTGAG